GATGGCTCAGTGGTTTAGAACCCTGACCTTGCAGAAGACCTGAGTTCGAATCCCAGCACCCACATGGCAGCTAACAACTGTCTGTGACTCCAGTCCCAGGGGATCCAACAGCCTCTTCTGACCAATGCGGGTATTGCATGACATAGGCACACTTACCTACATGCAGGCAATACGTGCATACACATAAAATAAAAATAATAAATAAAAATTTTTTTAAGAAAGCATGTGATACTATGCCCAGCTAATTCCCCCACCTCCTTTTTTTTATGTGTATGTGTGTATTGCCTGCATATAGGTAAGTGCACCCGTGTCATGTGATGCCAGCGGAGGTCAGAAGAGGCTGTCGGATCCCCTGGAACTGGAGTTATGGACAGTTGTTGGCTGCCATGTGGGTGCTGGGATTCGAACCTGGGTCTTCTGCAAGAACAACCAGTGTTCTTAACTGCTGAGCCATCTCTCCAGCCCCTCCTTATTTTTTTTTTTTTAAGACAGAGTACCTAGCCCAGGAAGGCCTTGAATACTCTAAAGAGCCAAAGTTGAACTTGAACTCCTGATCTTCCTACCTCCACTTTCTGAGTGCTGGGATTTAAAGTCGTACATCACTGTATCTAGTTTATGCTGTTCTGGGGACCAAATCCAGCACCTCATGTAAGGTAGGTACTCACTATACCAGATGAGCTACATCCCCAGTCCTAAAACATTTTCAAAGGAGGGGAAAAAATATGTTCCTAGAACGTGTATAATGTGAGCTCTTTTACAAAAAAAGGGGGAGGGGGAATATCCTGTTTGTTGTATACAGAATACTGACCTACTCAGTGTAAACACATCAAGTTCAAAAAGCAAAAGGGAACTTCCATGTATAAGGAAACAGTTAGATGTGTACCAAAACAAGTACTAACTTTATACTTAAATTTTATTTTACTTTTTTGAAAAGATTTATTTTTATTTATGTGTATGTGTTATGTGTGTCTGTCACATGTGTACAGGTATCTGTGGTGGGCAGAAAGGGTATCGGATCTCTTGAAGCGGGAGTTAACAGGCAGCCGTGAGTGCCTAAGATGGGTACTAGGAACTGAATGTGTGTCCTCTGGAAGAACAGCAAGGTTCTTAACCTCTGAGCCATCTCTCCAGTGCCTTAAATTTTAAAGAGCTTCCTCATATTCAGCTGTAAAAGGAGGAAACCAGAAAGACAACAAGCAGCTCTGGTATGAAAACCAGTTTCCTATGGAGTGATTACAACAGGCACCAGATGCCCACCTACCCCAATGTCAAACACTGAGCTGACAGGCTTGTGGTCACTGGTCTTCAAGGCCATGTGGCTCTGGTAACTCAGCTGAGTGATGTTCTTTCCTTTCCAGAGGACTCGATCGCACCAGGCAGGAGCACGACACTTCTCACTGAAAGGGAAAGTTCACGTTGGTATGCTCACAGAAACAGCAAGGCCAACTGCTCAGTGAGAGCCCTGGCTAGGCAGGGAACAATGAGGCAGGGCCTTCATGTCTACGCAGCCAAAGGATCTAAGTTGGGAGATGATCAGGCCTGCCAACTAGTATCCTTGTACGCTTTCCAAAGCCACTCAGAGAGCTCCAAAAGAAAACAGTTCAGACTGCTTCCCTGACCTGCATCCTCCTGTGAGGATGAAGATGGAATGAAAAAGCAATAGTAGAATAAGCACTTTATGGTCCTTAAAAGAAGGTAGTTAAGGGAACAGGCTCTGAGTTTCTACTGCCTGGGTTCAAGTCTTGTCTCTACTATTTGCCTCCTTGGGAGGCTCTTTGATTTTTCTATACATCAGTCCCCAATCTCCTAAAATAGGGATGAGAAATCAAACCTACCTCAACAGGATGTTGAGTAGTTCAAATGAGATAGAGAAACAAAATATACCAAACAGTGTATGGTACACACTAAGCACTAACAGGAAATATTAACTAGTATGTAAAGACCAAGTACAAGCTGAGCTGATCTCCTTGCATTACCCTAACCACAGGTGAAAAGTCAAAGGGCATCAAGACCCACTATGGAACAAAGTCTAAGGCACAAGAAAATAATGTGGAAGGCAGTGGGCTCAGCGAGCAGATACAGAGAAGAAATGTTTGACCATAGGGGGAAGTATGAATAAAGAGTCACAGGGTCCAGTGCTTCCCAGAACACCTGGGTTTCCATTTCCTCAATCCCCACAAGTGACTCTGACCTACCTGGTATCCCAGTCGTCGGAGCCAGTGTCATACTTATAGGTAGGTTGGAACGTGAGCTCACCCTCTGTGAAACCTTCAAAAACGGTCTTGGCAGCCACCTGAATTTTCAGCTACACAAAATAATGGGGGGAACACTTCAGAATAAAAAGATCAAACTTTGAATTAGTGGAAGAAATGAAATAGATCTAGAACCCAGGTCCTACCTCAAAGGGAAAGTCCCCATGAAAAGGCTATTCTGTGAGATCTGAGTGATCTGAGCACTAATGAACTCCAAGGAAGAGGAGCAACCTGATTATTCCTTCACCTGGGATAAAGTTTTTAAGGTTGTTTCTTGTTTTTAAAGTCTGGGTTTTGTTTTGTTTCATTTTTATTTTCTTTTTTTTTTTTTGGAGACAGGATCTTACCTAGCTGATGTTGGCCTCAAATGTAGATGAGGATGCCCACAAACTACTGATCTTCCTGCCTCCACCTCCTAAATGCTAGGACAGGCATGAGCTACCATGCCTGTGCTGGAAGGCTTTTTTTGGACAGGGAATAAAACCCAGTGCTAGACAAGTACTCTAACACAGCTATATCCCTAGTCCTTGGTTTTCTGAAACACAGTCATACTATATAGCCTGGGCTGGCCTTGAACACACGATCTTCTTGCTACAGTATCCTCAGAGCCAGAAATTACAGGTATATACCACTATATCTGACTTTTCATTTTAGGACAGAGTCTCAGGTTGGGGATGTAGGTCAGTTGGTAGAGTCCTTGCCAAGCATGTACAAAACCGTGGGTTCAAACCCCAGCACTGCATAAACTGGACATAAACTGTTAGCCTAGAATAGTGCCTGGAGCATTTTGAAAATAACTAGCATCTTTCCTATTGTATTAATTCTAGGAGTTCTGTCTAGATCACATTCTCAAAAACTGATAAAAACAATAGATGCATCTGCTTCTTCCCTGGTACACCAGACTCGGATACTGTACGGACTAGTGGCGAACGGTCACCTCCAACCTGGGGTACAGAGTCAGCTGTCCAAGGAATGCCACTTGCCAACTCCCTGAAAGTATAATTTTTCTAAAAACATTGTGAACTTTAACTGTCAACTTGACATAACCTAGAATCACCTGGGAAGAAAGTCTTAATGAGGAATCATCTAGACCAGGGTAGCCCCATGTCTGTGGGGGATTGTCTTAATTGTTAATTGATATAGGAATACCCAGTCAACTGTGTGCAGCCCCATTCATAGGCAGGGGTCCTGACTACTATAAGAGGAGAATGAAAGCAAGCAGGGATCCATGAGTTTACTCTTTCTGCCTTTTTTTTGTGTTTTGGTCTTTTTGAAACAGGGTCTCCCTCACAGACATCCCCCTGCCTCTGCCTCCCAAGTGCTGGGATTAAAGGCGTGCACCACCACTCCCAGCTTCTTTCTGCTTTTTTAAAATTTATTTTTATTTTATGTGCATGAGTATTTTGCCTATATATATGTAGGTGCACCATGTGCATGCAATGCCTGAAGGAGCCCAGAAGAGGGTATAGGATCCCCTAGAACTGAGTTACAGATGGTTGTCATTCCCCATGTAGGGGCTGGGAACTGTACTGTGGTCCTCTGCAAAACTGGCCAGTGCTCTTAACCACTGATCCCTCTCTCCAGCCCCTTCCTTCTGCTCTGTGGATATGATACTTTAAGCTTCTGCCTTGACTTCCCCCCAATAATGGACTATACCCTGGAATCATAAGGCAAATAAACGTCCTTCCTAAGTGACTTTTTGTCAGGGTATTATAATACAGAACAGAAAAAAACTAGAATAGACACTATCAAAGGAAAAGAAAAATTAGGAAAGAATGCAAGAGATGTTTCTTTTGAATAGGTGCATAAAAACATTATAACTGGGGCTGGAGAGATGCCTCAGTGGTTAAGAACACTGGTTGTTCTTGAAGAAGACCCGGATTCAAATCAAATCCCAGCACCTAAGTGGCAGCTAATAACTGTCCATAACTCCAGTTCCAGGGGATCCAATGGCCTCTTCTGTCCTCTGTGGGCATTGCACGACACGGGTGCACTTACCTACATGCAGGCAATACACTCATACACATAAAATAAAATATTTTTTAAAAAACAACGATAAAGCTGGGCATGGTGGCAGAGGCAGGAGGATCTCTGTGAGTTCAAGGCCAGCCTGGTCTACATAGTGAGTTCCAGGCCAGCTGAGGCTACAGAGAGACCCTGTCTCAAAAAGACCAAAAAATCCCAAAAAAACCAACAACAACAAAAAAAACATAACTATGAAGAAATCAGCTAACCACGCGGTGAGTGGTTTTACTTCAGGAATACTTGAAAAGGTGCAAGGAGAGATGTGTATCATACTGTATGAGCAATTAGGATGCAGAAGGCCTCAGTCTAGAATACAGAGAAAATAAACAGATATGGAACAGACAAGGTTAATGCTAACATGGGGATTAAGTAGAATAAAAGTAATTTACCAAGGATAAGAGTCAGAGAAAAAGTGAGTCAATAAATTATTTCATGAAGAAAGACCAAGCAAAGTTAAGATTCTCCTTCAATCATTCTGTACCGGGAAAGAGAAAGATAACTGAAAAATTTAGACCTAATGATAATACCAAGGTTATCAAAAAAAAAAAAAAAAAAAAAAAAAGTGAGAGTGGGGTGGGAGCACTCAGGCTGAAGAAGGAAAAAAGACTTGAACACTCTGAGCAGCTATGACTGCTTAAACAAGGGTAGCCAGAGGCAAGTGAGAAACAGACCTCTCCCGCCCTGTGAAATGCTTAAGGCTCTCAGAAAACTGCTAAGTCAAATGATGGAGGACAGCAGGCCAGGATGCTCTGCGCAGCTGCAAGAGAACTGAGTCCTGTCAGAGTAAAGAAAGGCACCGAGAAAGAGCTAGCACCCACACCGGAGCAATCTGGTGAGAAGGGTACAGGGAGCACGAGGCTCATTTTAGGAGAATTTTTAAATCACTCTATACCAAGTAGTTTCTTTATTGAGGTTGGGGCCCTTTTAGTCCCAACTTCAGATCTTTTCAGTGAATGAGCGAGAACACGCTCTTACTCCCAAGGGAGACAAGGTACCTCTAGGGAAGAGCCAATAGGGAGGCCATTTTGAAAGAGAGAAATGCAGATGGAATGAAGGAACAAGTGGACAACATCAGGTCCTCAGGGAAGCCTCCAAGGTTGAGGAAGAAGCAGCCAAGGACTGGGAAGCCAGGCTGTGCTGTGCTCTCAGAGGGGGAGCCTGAAGAGGACACAGGTGGCCATCTGTACCTGATCATATGCATACAGGGTTTGAAAGGCCTTCTCTTCGATGAGCTTTTTCACTTTTTCCACATCCAGCTCTTCTATCCTGTAGTTGAGGTCCCCCAGCCACAAGATCACACTGTGAGAACAGAGCACAAAGGTGACAGGGTTTAGGAGGGGCTTTAACCCTTCCTATCCAGGGTAATTTGGACAGAAGGTCCCCAGGGTGGGGAAGTGCTTTGGCTGTTTAAAAAAAAAAAAATTTTTCCCTCTTTCCATCCCCCTTATCACCAGGCTAACATGCTGCTGACTCAGGTATTTTGGCTCAAGTTCACCATAAACAAGCCTTGAGTTCTCCTTGATTTCTTTATTCAGGTGGCTAAAAAAAGTCTTCTAAGGTCTAAGAGCAACACCTGGAGTGATGGCACATGCCTGTAATCCCAGAACTCAGGAGGCTAATGCAGGAGTAGAGCAAGTTAAAAGCTAGCCTGAGCTACATAGAGAGAATTTGGCTTAAAAAAGAAAAGTCAGGGGGCTGGAGAGATGGCTCAGTGGTTAAGAGCACTAACGGCTCTTGCTGAGGACCCAGGTTCGATTCCCAGCACCCACATGGCAGCTATGAACCATTCTTAACTCCAGTTCCAGGGGAATTCGATGCCCTGTTCGGACCTCTGCAGCACTGCACAACACAGGTGCACTCACATACATACAGGCAACACACTCATACACACAAAATAAAAATAGTAAAAAGAAAAGAACAGAAAAGAAAAGTTGGGGCCAGGTGTGCTGGCACATGTCTTTAATCCCAGCACTCAGAGGGCAGAAAGGGGAGATCTCTGTGAGTTCTAGGCCAGCCTAGTTTACATAGCAAGTTCCAGGCCAGCTGGAGCTACAGGGAGACCCTGTCTCAAAAAAAAAAAAAAAGTCTAAGAAGCAAGACAGTAATTTACCATACAGCAGAAAGAAGTCAAAAAAAAAAGAGAGATCAAGAAGGGGCTGAAGGGCCAGGCGTGTGACACGCCTTTAATTCCAGCACTTGGGAGGCAGAGGCAGGCAGATCTCTGTGAGTTCAAAGCCAGCCTGGTCTAGTGAGCTCCAGGACAGCTGGGGCTAGAGGGAGACCCTGTCTTTTAAAAAAAAACAAAAAAAAGGGGGGGGGGGGGCTGGAGAGATGGCTCAGCAATTAAGAGCACTACTGCTCTTCCAGAGTTCAGTTCCCAGCACCCACATCAGGCAGCTCATAACTGCCTATAACTATAGCTCCAGGGACTCCAATGCCCTCTTCTGGCCTCCTCAGGCACCCACATACATGCTCAAATGTAGACATACTTGCACACACACACAAATACAATATAAAGCTTTAAAAATATATATCAAGAAATGTAAACCATGCCAGTTACCTCCACCCCCATCTACATTCCAGCCAACAAACATATCCTTAGTCTTTGTTTCTAGACTGAATTCCTCTGAATCAAATTTCAACCTTTAGAGTGGAACCTGAATTTAACTACCACATCATTGGTTGGCTCACTCTGCCCTCCTGGGCAGGCAGAACTGTGTCACAGGGTTTTATTACACCTGCTCCTTTGGGAAAAGCAAACTCAGGGCTCCTTGATGACATCACAGATCCCATTTAGTCCAGTACTATTTTACCTGAAGCCAACAACCATGTCGTTCAATAATCTGTATAGCATTGCACTCCCTCCCTAAAACCAACATACCCTGCTAAAAGAAAACTGACACACAAGCTGCAGCCTCACAAACTAGGATGCTACAGCAGCACAGAGGAGCTCAGCTATGAGATGCACAGGGGCCTTGGAGATGAAAAGCCATTCTGTCAACTTCTGGAACCCCAACAAGTCAGAGACAGCTCTACTATAGCAGACAGGACATAAGGTGGGACTCTTCATCCCCTGGCACACACTGTGGGCTCACTGGCTTCCTCTTCTTTATAAAAGAAGTGACACAAGCTTCAACTGTAACAATAAAGCCTGAAATTCTAAGGCTTTGAATTCAGACAAACAGCAAGTTTTAGAGACAAATAAAATAGAATGAAGAAAAACTAGCACAAGATGCTCTGCACAGCTGCAACCACAGTTTTGTAAAGTAGAATCAAGGAGAAAAAGATCAGGTGCAGTCAAGCAAGCATGTGTCCAAGTCTCAACGGTATATGCTCTGGGAAGAACAAACATGAAGTCCTAAAACACAGTACCACAAGCTGTGTTTGAGATGCTTGCTCTGAGGCTCCTTTGCCCCTGATGTTCAATCAAGGCAGATTCATATTCAAATAAACCTTATATCTCTCCAGAGACAAAGGATGTTTGAGAATAGTTCTAAAGGTCTGCTAAATGGTAAATTAGGAGTCAAAGAATTGACATGGAAAGTAATCAAGAGCTGGCAACTATCTCCACTCCTGCTGCTGCCTCCCAGACAAGATGTAGAACCCAGAGCTTTGCATGTCGCACATGGGGACTGTGTAGGGAAGAAGCCTAGACTCACTCATGCTTATTGATGGTGAGAGGGGGAAGACTCGGGTCTACTTGAGAAAACTGCATCCGAGAACAGATGTCCTTATAGTCTTGATTCCTCCTCTCATACTCTTCTGTGTGGGCTGCCAAGTGAGAATTCACCACGCAGATGCTGGTGTTGTGCAGCTGGAACCTGATTGCCACACCTCCTTTGTTACCCTAGAAAAAGGATCCCAAGAATTATGCCAGTCATTTAAACCTTCAAATTTTTCTCTTTTTTTTTTTTTTTTTTTGAGACAAGGTCTCACTATGTAGCCCCATTGGCCTGGAACTCATTATACAGACCAGGATGGCCTTGATTTCAGTGAGATCCACCTGCCTCTGCTTTCTGAGTCCTGGGATTAAAGGCATGTGTATCACTATGCCTGGCTAAACTTTTGAAATATTTAGTCTTAGTCTTCATAACAGCCTTGTGAGGTTATCTGTATTTTACAGATAAGAAGGAAATCTCTAAGCAAAATGACTGGCCATTCAATAGAAAACTCAGTCCAGAGTGTGGCTCTCTCAGTCTTTTCTCTGTACCACAGGTGAGCTACATGCTTTGCTCAGCACCCCCTAGAAGCCAAGAAGAGGAGGAAACTGCAAGCCTATCAGAGTTCTGTTTTCCTTAATGGGCCAACAGATCCTACACCACACTACATGGTATGACCGGGCCAATTAGAGTCTCCAGCATTGATTAACTACAAGGACTGGGGATAGTTGGAGAAGCCAGCCAGAAATTCACTAGCATGAGCTCCAAGAAGTCTCTTTTATTCAGCTGTGCTTAAGGGTACAGCTCATCTCACAACACCAGCATCCTCACAGTAGGGCTTGTGGAGTCACTGCATCATGAAAAGCTGAGTCAAAACATGCAGAATATAACCAAAGACTCACCATCCTCCCCATGATTCCTGTCCCCACAGTCTCAGCTTCCACTTCTGAAATATATGCTGCGTGTTCCTGTTTGACATATAAAAGCAGCATAATCCCAACCAGCCGGATGAGCTTCACCTGGAAAAGAGAACCAAATTTTCACATTATGTAAGCAGAGAGAAGTTGAAAACTAGAATATTCCAAAGGAAATGTGGTCTGAGAGATAGCTGAAAAGTATTAACCAATCTCCTTCTCTGGTCCAGGATACAAGGCAGTCTGTTCCAGTCACTGAACATGCTACATTATAACCTAACTGCTTACCTATGCCAAGATTTGGCATCTTTCCAGAGATGCTCCTCTGGAGGAATGTGATGCTAACTAGTACTGGCTTACACTGAAGATTCACAGAAGGGTTTTTCTTTTTTTGGTCTTTTAGAGACAGTCTCCCTGTAGCCTCAGCTAGCCTGGAACTCACTATGTAGACCAGGCTGGCCTTGAACTCATAGAGATCTGCCTGCCTCTGCCTCCCGAGTGCTGGGATTAAAGGAGTGCACCACCACGCCTGGCACTAGAAGGGCTTTTCTTATATGGTAACATAAAATGTAAAAGTCCCTGACTCCTCTCTTACCTTTGCATATATGGCCTCCGGGTGCAGGCTCTCTGACACAGCTTTAAACCACTCTTCCTCCTTTGGGGTATCGTGAAAGAAAAAGGCTTCTTTACTCAGATCAAGCTCCTGGAACCTAGGAGGAGAAGCAATCACTGAGACAGAATAGGATGCATGCAGGCGAGACATTCTCAGACTCTCTTGGGTATTTACATTCTAGCTCTTTATTCTCAGACCCTCTTGGGTGTTTATGTTCTAGCTCTTTATCTGAACTGCAGGACACTCCAAAGGAAATAAACAGACCCAAAGAACTAAATGCTATGGAACTTACTAGGTGCTTCTGTGAACATCAGCTCATTTCCTCTTCATGACCTAGTCCATGAACTAGTAGGAAGCATCCCTATTTTATAACTACTAGCTCACACAAGGAATAAATGGAAAACTGGGGTTCAAATCTAGGTCTATGTGGGGCCTTGTCATTTTTGGTACATGAGTCCCAGGTTTGAGCAATTTTTAATACATCATTCAGACTTCTTTTGTTGCTCCTTGTCACCAACAGTATCCAGAAGAGTGATGAGAAGGTAGTATGGACACACACACACACACACACACACACACACACAAAGACAATGACTGGACTGAGGGTGGCACTCAGCAGTAAAGCACTTGCCTTGTACATTTCAATGCCCTGCACTCAATCCTCAGCACTGCAAAATAAAGCCAAGCCAGGCGTGATGGTACACACCTATAATACCAGCACTTGTGAGGTGGAGGCAGGATTATTACTACAGGCTTACAGCCAACTACACAGTAAGTTCTAAGTCAGCCCACACTACACAGTGAAACCCTGTCTCAAAAATACAAAACAAGGGACTGTAGAGATGACTCAGCAGTTAAGAGCACTGGCTGCACTTGCAGAGAACCCAGCTTTAATTTCCAGCAGCCATATGGTGACTAACAACCATCTGTAACTCCAGTTCCAAGGGGATCTAATGCCCTCTTATGACCTCCATGAGCACTGCACAACATGGATGCACTTACATACATGTAGGCAATACACTCATACACATAAAATAAATATAATAAATAAAATATTTTGGTCTTTTTGAAACAGTGTTTCCCTATAGCCCCAGCTGGCCTGGAACTCACTATGTAGACCAGGCAGGTTGGCTTCAAACTCACAGAGATCCGCCTTCCTCTGCCTCCCCAGTGCTGGAATTAAAGGCGTGCACCATCACTGCCCAGCACTAATAAAATATTTTTTTAAAAAAATACAAAACAAGAGGCTGTGGAGACGGCTCAGTCAGTAAAGTCTCATGCCTCGTCAAGCATAAGAACCTGAGTTTGATTCCCAGAATCCACATTAAAAGTCAATCATGCCGGGCGTGGTGCCGCAGCACTCAGGAGGCAGAGCCAGGTGGATCTCTGTGAGTTCAAGGCCAGCCTGATCTGCATAGTGAGCTCCAGGCCAGCCTAATCTACATAGTGAGTTCCAGGCCAGCATGATCTACATAGTGAGTTCCAGGCCAGCATGATCTACATAGTGAGTTCCAAGCCAGCTGGGGCTACAGGGAGACCCTGTCTCAAAAAGACCAAAAAAAAAAAAAAAGTCAATCTTGAGGGACTGGAGAGATGGCTCAGCAGTTAAGAACACTGACTGTTTTTGCAGAAGACCCAGGCTTGAATCCCAGCACCCACATAGCAGCTAACAACTGTCTGTAACTCCAGTTCCAGGGGATCGGACAGCCTCTCTGTCCTCCACGGGCATTGCAGGACACAGGTGCGCTTACCTACACACAGGCAATACACACATACACGTAAAATAAAAATAATAAATAAAACTAAAAAAAAAAAGCCGGGCATGGTGGTGCACGCCTTTAATCCCAGCACTCTGGAGGCAGAAGCAGGTGGATCTCTGTGAGTTCAAGGCCAGCCTGGTCTACATAGTGAGTTCCAGGACAGCTGGGGCTACAGGGAGACCCTATCTCAAAAAAAGACCAAAAAAAAAAAAAAACTCAATCAGGGGTGGAGCATGGTGGTACATGCCTTTAATCCTAGCAGAAGCAGGTGGATCTAAATACAACTGATGTGACTTTAGCTAACCTTCCTTTCCTGGCAAAAATGTTTTTTACTTTATAACCAAAAATGTGTTGAATATCAAGTAATGAAATACAGTTCAGAGCGGCTGGAGAGATGGCTCAGCAGTTAAGAACAGTGGTTGTTCTTGCAGAAGACCCGGGTTCGATTCCCAGCATACACATGGAGGCTATAAACCGTCCTTAACTCCAGTTCCAGGGGAATCTGACGCCCTCTTCTGACCTCCAAGGCATTGCACACCACAGGCACATGCACATACATGCAGGCAATACACTCATACACATAAAATAAAAATTAAAAATAAATAAATAAATAAAATATTTTAAAAAAAAAACATTGGTTGTTTTTGCAGAAGACCAGGGTTCAAATCCCAGCACCCACATGGCAGCTAACAACTGTCCATAACTCCAGTTCCAGTGGATCCGAGAGCCTCTTCTGTCCTTGCGGGCATTGCACGACACGGGTGCACTTACCTACATGCAGGCAATACACTCATACACATAAAATAAAATAATTTTTTAAAGAAAAAGAAATACAGTTCAGAGCACATTGATTTTTAACAGAAGGTTATATTAAAAAAAGAAATATTAGCATTTAAATGCCAAGCATAGCACATTCCAGACCTCTGTTTATCAGGAAGAATACCATGAGAGAATCTGCAGCTGTCCCTAGCAAAAGCTCATTTTTCAATTCCTTCATCTGCATGAAGACTTGGCTACAACTCATGCCCCATCCCTTCAACAGGGAGAGGGACAGGGCTGGGTATGGTGGCTCACACCTTTAATCTCAGCACTCAGAAAGGAGAGGCAGGAGGATCTCTATGAGCTCAAGGCCAGTCTGGTCTACACAGCAAGTTCCAGGACAGCCAGGGCTATACAGTGTGACCCTGCCTCAAAGAAACAAACAAACAAGACAGCCAGAAAAGAAGCACTCACCCTACGCAGTATACATCTGGGGCCTGGGTACTGTGACTCAGCCAAGGTCGGAGGCATTCCTTGGGGGACTGTCCATTCACATTGTATGTTCCCACAAAAAACCTGTCACCAAAGAGAATAAATTCATGATATAAAAGCAATATGTCAAAAGTTCAGTCTCTGTGGAATGTTATTTTTTAAGACAAGAAATGTATTAATCTAGACCAATGACTATGGCACCAAAGGGTGACCAGCAGGTCTGCCGTAACTTGCTTTGTGATAGCTTCTGATAATATGGGTCTTCTCTGAGCTAGGCCTCATGGTGCTTGAAATCACAGCCCCTGGGACACTGAAGCAGGATGACTGCTGTGACTTCAAGGCCAGCATGAGACATACAGCAAGTTCGCCGCAAGCTTGTGCTATAAAGCAAGACACTGTCTCCAAAATCCAGGCGTGGTGGCATACACCTGTAATTTCAGTACTTGAGAGGCCATGGTATGTCAGGGAGATGCTTAAATTCCATAGTACAGAATGGCCATTTTGCCTTGAAAACCATGGTGGTCCAGCTAGTACCTGAAGTTCTGGATGTAGGTATAGTCCTCTTCCTTCTGCATGAGATGTGATTTCACAATGGTGTCTCGCAGTCCAAACTTCTGCACGGACAAAATATGAGCCTTGTCTGATACTGTGATCGTAGCGGATCGAACCATATCAGTGATTTCAGATTTGGATCTATTCTGTCTGGAAAAATAAAAACATTTTAATCATATTTTTAGTCTTCCATGGCAAAAGAAAGTAAGTTCCCATAGACAGGCATGAAGAACAAAGGTGCTGCTTGAAGAACACATGTGAACAAATTAAGCTCATTTGCTGCCTGGTGTTGTGGTACATGCCTTTAATCCCAGACCTTGGGAAGCAGAGACAGGCAGATATCTGTCTACATAGCCAATTCCAGGTCAGGCCAGATGCAGCTACAGGGAGACCCTGTCTCAAAACAAACAAAAACTTAGTTGCTGGTGATGGAGAGATGGCTCAGCGGCTAAGAGCACTGACTGCTCTTGCAGAGGGCCCAGGTTTGATTCCTAGCACCCACATGGCGGCTATGAACCATCCTTAACTCTAGTTCCAGGGGAAATCGAAGCCCTCTTCTGACCTCCGCGGCATTGCACAACACGGGTGCACTCACATATATGCAGGCAATACACTAATACACAAAAAATAAAAATTAAAAAAAAAAGCACTTCCAGGCGTGGTGACACATGCCTTTAATCCCAGCACTCGGGAGGCAGAGGCAGGTGGATCTCTGTGAGTTCAAGGCCAGCCTGGTCTACATAGTGAGTTCCAGGACAGCTGGGGCTACAGGGAGACCCTGTCCCAAAAAGACCAAAAAAAAAGAAAGAAAAAGAAAAAAAACTTAGTTGCTAAAATAGCAAATGGGGAATTAAATAAACTTACATGTTGTTGACAATATAGCATATTGGTCTAGAGATTTTGCTGATAATACAGTCACAGAATCTTAGGTTCCAAGGGAACTTAAAGGAAAACAGAAAGAAGACTGGAAATATAGCTCAGTACACAGAATGCCTGATTTGCATACACAAGGCCCTGGGTTTAATGACCAGTACTTCAAAAATAGAACTCATTCAAAGTGCTGGAGGGAGGCAGAGTGTGGGTTGTCACTCAGATGTGACAGTGCTCTTTCTGCATCTTTGTGCCTCACAGAACAGGACTATAAAACCCTCTAGCCCTGTGGCTTGATAATTCCACCTCTCTATCTCTATTCCACAGGAATAGTTTTAATAAAAATAAAGGCAATGAAAATTTACATCTGGTTATATAGTCAGCGTACAAGTTATTCAAGTGCTAACAAGAAAAATAGGGCATATTTACTTACCAGGATTCTATATTACAGCTCAAGAGACCTGAAGATTATTTAATGAACTAAAGTGCAGAAGGCATTTGTGACACGAAATAAATGCCACATGAGTATCCAATAGTACCACTGTCACATGCATGTTAACATAGTTAAGTAAGAATATATGGAATGGCTGAGTGTGGTGGCATATGCCTTTAAACCCACACATGGGTGGCAGAAGCAGGTTGATCTTAGTAAGTTCAAGGCCAGCTTGGTCTTCACAGCAAGTTCCAGGCCAGCCAGGACTACACAGTGAGACCCTGTCTCAAAAAAGAGAAAGAAAACAGCCGGGCGTGGTGGCGCACACCTTTGGCCCCAGCACTCAGGAGAGGCAGGCAGATCTCTGTGATTCAAGGCCAGCCTGGTCTACATCGTGAGTTCCAGGACAGCTGGGGCTACAGGGAGACCCTGTCTCAAAAAGACAAAAATGGCACCAGGATGCCCAGAGGCTGTGCAGCCCAGGGACGTCTGGTTGAGAAGTTTAAAGCTGGAGCTGGAGAGATGGCTCAGCGGTTAAGAACACTGAATGTTCTTACAGAAGGCCCAGGTTTGAATCCTAGCACCCACATGGCAGCTAACAACTGTCCATAACTCTAGTTCCAAGGGATTTGACAGCCTCTTCTGTCCTCCACAGGCATTGCATGACACGGGTACACTTAACTACATGCAGACAATACACATACACACACACACACACACACACACACACACATATAATTTTAAAAATTAAAAAAATAAAATAAAGAAAATAAAATTTAAAATAAAGAATTTAAATTAAGGGATTGGAGAGATGGCTCAGCAGTTAAGAGCACTTAATGTTCTTGCAGAAGACCTGCGTTCGAATCCCAGTACCCACATGGCAGCTAACACAATGTCTGTAACACCAGTTTCGGGGTGTTCAGGACCTCAGTTCAGATCCCCAGAACCTATGCAAAAAAGATTATCTCAAATTTATGAGGTAATCACCTTACCTACTGAGCCATCTTCCCAACCCAACCATATATATTTCTTTTTTTTTGGTCTTTTTGAGACAGGGTCTCCCTGTAGCCCAAGCTGTCCTGGAGCTTACTATGTAGACCAGGCTGGCTTGAACTTACAGAGATCCATCTGCCTCTGTTTAATTATCTGTATGTGTATATCTGAGTGTTGGTGTGTGCACGTGAGTGCAGTTGGCTGTGGAGGCCAGGAGAGGCCACTGGATCCTCTGGACCTGGAGTTACAGGTAGTTATGAGCCATGTGATGTGGGTTCTGAGAACCAAATTCAGGTCCTCTGCAAGAGCAGCAAGTGCCCACTGCTGCTCAGTCATCTCTCCAGCTTCTTATATATATATTTTTTTTAAGATTTATTTTATTTTATTTTATTTTTATTTTCTTTTATTTTTTTGTTCTTTTTGAGACAGAGTCTCCCTGCAGCCCCAGCTGGCCTGGAACTCAGCATGGAGACCAGGCTGAACTTGAACTCACAGATTTTCGCCTGCCTCTGCCTCCCGAGTGTTGAGACAACAGGCCTGAGCCACCAGGCCCAGCTCTTTTATTTTTAACTATGTGTATGTGTGGGGATATATGCATGTGAGTGCAGATGCTTCCAGAGGCCAGAGGCATCAGCTCTACTGGAGTTGGACTTACAAGGGGTTGTGAGCTACATAAAGTGGGTACTGGAAATGGAACTTGAGTCCTCTGTAAGAGCAGCATGTCCTCTTAACTGCTGAGCAAGATCTCTAGCCCTCCCTCCCTCATGTAATTCTCATCACCTGAATTTCCTTAGCTCTAAAACATGAAAATATTTTAACTCTTAGGTGAAAAACTGTCCATGTAAAAGGATGCTGCCTGGCATACACATAAGAGTTCTATAAGAGCCAGGTATTAAGAACATTTCTAAGGCTTCAGCTTACATCATGTATACGGAGGGTCTTGGTTCTCTACTGAAGAGAACCTCAGTCATAAAAGATAAGAGCGATAAATGAAGCTGGGCGTGGTGACACGCCTTTAATCCCAGCATTTGGGAGGCAAAGGCAGGTGGATCTCTATGAGTTCAAGGCCAACCTGGTCTACATAGTGAGTTCCAGGCCAGCTGGGGCTAAGGGGAGACCCTGCCTCAAAAAGACATAAAAGAAAAAAGAAAAGAAAAAAAAAGTACAAATGAATAGAGAGGTGTATCACCTTGTGAGAGAGTTTTCTGATTTATCCAGACATCTAGTCCCAGAGCTTTGGTCCATAAGCAGGCCTCTCCCATTTGACCTTGAAGTGTCAAAGTTAGAACCACCTAAAGAGAAAGAAAATGAATTAAAACATACCAAGATGTTTGAATATACAGACCACGGCTTCTCAAGAGGTAGCCTAGGAATTACTGGTAGTCTACACACTTCTTGGGAATACAGCAAAGGCCCACACAAGCATGCAGGTGAAGTCCCACAAGACATACAGAGAGAAGGAAAAAGTTTTTCCCCAGGATGTCTTTGTTACTGAAAACAGAACTATTCCATGGGGACACAGTGCATTACAGAAAAAGTAACACAGGGCCAGGCGTGGTGGCATACACCTTTGATTCCAGCACTTGGGAGGCAGAGGCAGGTGGATGTCGTGGAGTTAGAGACCAGCCTGGTCTATATAGCAAGTTCTAGGCCAGCTGGGGCTACAGGAAAATTCTGTCTCAAAAAGACAAAAAAAAAAAAAATTAAAGACAGGATCTTTTGTATCTTAGTCAGGCCTCAAACTCACTATGGGCTAAGGCTGGCCTTGAACTCCTGATCCTCCTGCTTCCACTTCCCAAGTGCTGGGATTACAGTTGGGAGCTTTATATTTGCTGACTGTGACTTTAGACAAGTCATATAACCATTCTTACTCTCAGTAATCTGCCCCTGTCCTGCCTTCTGTGTAAGTTTACTGTAGAGCTGAAATGAGCTGACAAGTACGAAAGCCATTTAATAGTCACACAACTATCAGAAGGTAGCAGGCCTTCTGGAAGTGAGACTTCAGCTCCAAAGAAGAGAAAGAAATGCAAAGGTCAGAGTTCTACAACTGGAAAAAGCTCTAGGGACATAAGAAGCGTTTGTCATCACCAACAAATGGCCTCAAAAACCAAAGGGCTGAAGGTGCCCACAAAAAAAATATTTGGGGAGAAATTTGTTAATACAAGATAAATTTACTTTTTATTTTTATTTTATGTGTATGAGTGTTATGTTTGCATATGTTTGCTAAGTGTACCATGTCATGCAATGCCTGAGGACAAGGATCCCCTTGAACCGGAGTTACGGACAGCTGTTACATGCCATTTGGCTACTGGGAGTCAAACCCGGGTCCTCTGAAAGAGCAACCAGTACTCATTTTTGTGATTTTTATTTTTTTTTATGTGTATGACTATTGCTACGCGTAGGTAGGTGCACCTGTGTCGTGAAATGCCCATGGAGGTCAGAATAGAGTGTCAGATCCCCTGGAACTCAAGCTATAGACAGTTGTTAGCTGCCATGTGGGTACTGGAAATTAAACCCCAGCCTTCTGCAAGAGCAGCCACAGTTCTTAATAGATGAGCCATCTCTCCATCCCCCACTGCAAGATAAACTTAAAAAGGAAAATTAATCTTCCAAGAACATCTTTACTCCTTAAAAGCTGAATTTCTTGTCATCAGGGACTGAGGAACCAAATCCGACAAGCAGACAGGCCACCGATGAGTAAAAGAAAAGACACACTTCTGCCTTCTTGGTCTGAGACAAAGGCCTGGGTGCATACACTTCCCCTCCCCACAGCCAGCCAGGCTGGCTTTTTTTTTTTTTTGGCTAGCCAGTCCAGACCAGTTTGGATAAGACCCCGAGGCCAGACCAGGACATAGTTCACTTAACTAGGAGCAGTGACCTAGGAGCTCTTTTTTCTTTAAGTTTACCAATCCAACATTAGGGGAGGGAACCTGCCCCATAGCACCAAAACCACTTAAAAGGCCCACACCCTCTTATGGGCTTTGGAATTTTTGGGTTTCTGAGTTCACTCTTCCTGCATGGAGAGTTTTCTCTCTGTGTAAGTATGTGTTGTTTCTTCTTTTGGGATTTGGGGGGGGTGGAGTTTTGTTGTTGTTGAGACAGGGTCTCCCTGTAGCCCCAGCTAGCCTGAAACCCACTAAGACCAGGCTGGCCTCTTTATCTCAGAGATCTACCTGCCTCTGCCTCCTGAGTGTTGGGATTAAAGGTGTCCCAGCTGATTCTTTTTCTTTTTTTTAATTTTTTTTATTCTTTTAATTTTATGTGTAAGCATGTATTGCCTGCATGTAGGTAAGCGCGCCCGTGTCATGCAATGCCTGCAGAGATTAGAAGAGGCTGTTAGAGCCACTGGGACTGGAGTTAAGCACAGTTGTTAGCTGCCATGTGGGTGCTGGGATTCAAACCCAGGTCTTCTGCAAGAACAACCAGTGTTAACCACTGAGCCATCTCTCCAGCTCCTGTTTCTTTTTCTTGATATTTTATTTATTATTTATTATGTGTATGAGTGTACTACTTGCATGTATGTAAGTGCACCCATGTTGTACAATGCCAGCAGAGGACAGAAGAGGGTGTCAGATCCCCTGGAACTGGAGTTGTGAACGGTTGTTAGCCACCATGTGGGTACTGGGAATTGAACCCAGATCCTCTGCATCTAACTTTAAAAAAAAAAAAAATTTTTCTCATGGGGACTTTGGGAGATGGCTCAGTTGGTAAAGTGCAGGGGAGCAAGCAAGAGGACCTGAGTCCAGATCCCTAGCACCCCAAAAGCCAGGCATTGTGGCACACTCCTCTGCAACCCCAGTCCTAGTGCTGGGGGATGGGTGGCAGAGACAAACAGATCCCTAAAGCTCATTGGCCTGCCAGCCTAGCCCAGTCCATGAGCTCTAGGTTCAGTGAGAGATCTTGTCTCAAAAAATAGGGTGTAGAGGGCAGGGAGAAGGCTCAGCAGGTAAAGGCACTTGCTATCTGATAATGCAACCCTGACAATCCAAGTTCAATCCCTTCCACCTATGTAAGGTAGAAGGAGAGAACTGGACTCCACAAAGTTGTTCTCTACCTCTACATGCATGCCTATTACTGTTAGGGTTCCAAACAGCAGCAGCTTCCCCCCTCCCCAACAGGGACCTACAGACTTTGGAGCTTGAAAAAGGGAACTGAGCTGATAAGCACCTTGACCTTTGAAGTCAAGGGAAACAAACTCTGCTGAGAAGCAGCCTGCCTTTCCTCTGATCTCCAAAGACAAGATAAGCAGATTCTACCTGTTAACCAGAGATTTTAGAAGCTGTTTATCACAACAAGCTTTTCTCTTATCTTAAGAGAGAAAAAGCAAACACTTCCAAACCCTAATCCCAGGTTGGCAGACTGAATGGAGCCAGGCTTTTCCTGCTTCCCCCCCCCCGAT